AACTTCTTCACTGAAAAATCTATTAACTCATCCTTTATTTTTTCATCTAATATTCAATCTGTAAGAAGAAAAATTGACCTATCAGTAGAGCCAAACAATAGCCAGGGGACTTATGACTGATCTTGTCTGGGAAATAGAGGGGCTGATTCAATTACGCTACCTACCCTGTTAGTAGTTCTGTAAGCTTCTTGTACCCAATTTATCCTAGCAATGACTTCGCTAGAAGGGCTGGCACAAAGTGCAATTGAGATGAGTTCTAGGCTGCACACAGCAGGCCTTTGCCTGTGTAAAGAGGACAAAAGACAAGGAGGAAAAAGGACACCCCTGATAGCACAGCTCCATCACATCCCTCCCACAGACACCACGCACGTTGCTGCAGGCCACAGTCCTTTGCTGGAACATGTACCTGGACTCCCACCTCCAAGCTAACTCAGCTCTTACACAGCTTTTTTCCTGCTGCATGGAAATCTCCGTGCCAGCTGGTGCCAGTGGGATCAATATTTCACTGTGAACCTCAGACCCTGCTGCACTTGGTGTGGCTGCAGAGGCTGAGCTTGACAACGCTTCAAACGAGGTCGCAGTTCTCTAGTCCCACACCTCGACCGCAGGTCTCTATTAATTGTCAGGCTGTCATGCCAGCTACAATGTTAGAAGATCCTTAATCAATAGATAACCATACTGTCCAATTACTGGTTTACAAATTATACCATTAAGCAGTTGCACTTATTTACAACTGTCAAAATGTAGGTCATGTTTGACTGACTTGGTTAATCACCCGCAAAAGAGAAAGCTCTATGAACATGAAGATCCTGAAAGTGGCATTTCTGGCGATAAAGAAATGAGTGAGACATAGTCTAGCCATACTCTAAGTGTACCTTTACGTTGCAGCTGTCACTTCTCTTTGAGGTAGCACATACACTAAAAAAATGGGCTTGAATCAGAAAATAATGCAAAAATGCAAATTCTGCTGGTTCTTGTAGAACTTCTGTTCACAGGAACTGTACCATTTAAACCAATACAATAGAAGAGAACAACACAAGATTGGAATTTAATTTGCATATGAACAGAAATAACTATGAAAATGATGCCTGATGATCCTAATTACAGATGTCTGCCATAACTGTTCGTTGCTGCAGGTAATCCATAGAAGATATTCTAACAGTGAAGTGACTAAGAGCAATATAAATAAAAGCCAGACTCTGCGAAAGCTGACCCACGCCACTACTGCAGGGTTAACGAAAACGAGATGTCAGACTGCTGACTCTAAACAAGGCAGTTGACAGAGACTCCATTTGTTTTAGTATTTCCAAGAAAAGGTGATCTCTATATTATATAAAATACAAACAATATCGCTAATTACAAGTTTAACCTTTACTGTTACAAAAGTATTACTGCGAGGAAAGAAAATATCAAAGGGAATTGGAGGATTAAAGAAACAAAATTGTTTTCCCATGGGCACCATACAGGAGTTC